GCCACTTTGTACAGAAACCTTTGAGAGCATTCTCGAGAGTTTATAAAAAATTACGCTAGTGCTCTAACTTTACAGTATAGCACGGTTGGGGGGTGGGGGGGAGTCGATCGGTCGTCAACTCTAAAGTCGATTTTAATTAGCGATCATATAACATATGCCGTACACTTTTGTGTGTGAAATGAAAAGCGAGCGGGAGAGGTGAAGCGCAGATGGAAAAGGAAGAGGAGAAGGTCGAGGAGAGGAGACGGAAGGCAACGCTCAGGGAGGCGACGGCGCCGCGACGCGCTCGCGGTGTTGGGCTTGGCGAGCAGCGCCCCGGGCCCTGGCACTGTGCCGCCGCCGGCGCGGCGCGGCCAGGGCGTCGGGACTGCCAATGGAGTCAACGAGGCCCGCAATCAAGTAGAAAAGGGAAGGGCCGCCGCAGCGCAGGGCAGGGCTCTCCACTAATGGGCTTGCCATTGATTCCGTGCGCGACAGTTCACGATTTTATAATTTTTAAAATTTAAGCGTGATTTTGCTGCACTTTTCAGGGCTTCTTCTTATGACGAAACACGATGTGAGTAAATAATACAAATTTTTCCTGAAGAGGTTGACGATAAAAATCTAAATCAAGAATCTATCTTGAAAGCAGATGATACCAATTTAATACTAAAGTATACCTGTGTTTTAATTTTTCTAGTTTGATTTTTATTTGTGGTGGTTTTGCATCATTTTTCAAATGTTTCACTCGTTTATCGTCTTTGACAGGCAGGGAGGGAGGGGGTAGCGTACCGGGTGGCAGTCGCGGCTGTGGGACCCTAGTATTGTTGAGCAGGGGCCTGCCGCGACCGACGCGACACTCGGGCACTCACTCACTCACTCACTCGGCCCCCCAGCGCTAAATAAATTGTTTTCTGGTCTGCGCTTATGGTTCTCTGTACTCATCGAGAGTAAAAGCTAGCTGACACCTTAAAGTTACTTACATATTTTTTATGTTTAGTCAAAATGTTTGTAAGGTATCATCTGCTAAAAACGGTGGGGTCAAAATGACCATTCGTGTTCCGCTCTGCCCTCACGCCTTCATCTCCGCTGGGCGCTGCTGGGCTTGGGCGTGCTGCTGAGTCAGCTCAGCCAGGCGCATCCATGTCATTGCCGTCCGAATCGGTCCGCGTCGAGTCCGCGGCGCTCTGTGGGCTCGACAGCTCCGCGGATAGGAACGGCTATGGCAGCGATCTCTTGACGCCCCGCCCCCTCGCCCCGCCCCCATGCCTGAGCTGCGTATACCCGCTCTCCGACCGCGGACAATCTTTCCTCGGAGCTTTCCAATAACGAACAAATATATATGCGAAAAGCAATATTTCTTTCTTTAAGTTGAATCACCCTTTCGCTGATATTTCTCATGATCATTTGAGGACAGGACAGAGGGCCCCGCGAGTACACAGGACTCCGTGACTCTGGATCGGTCTGGTTCAGTCCCCCGCGCCGCGCCGACATCGCCTGACTTGCCAGCGCCGCTAAATAAATTTACGAAAAAATGGAGGAGCGAATGTAAAACAGTACGCAGCGATACACCCCGTTCTTTCACGGGGCGTCGCTAACGACGCTCGTCGCGCCGGCACGCGTGAAGAGAGAGACGGACGGTCACACAGACGGCTGTACATAATGGAGTAGTGTCGTGCTGTAAGAGAGAGAGACAGGCGGGCAGCTGTAATGCAGCAGTGACAAGCCCCCATGTTGTGCTTTCTTTAGAGGCTCGCAAGTCGTAAGTCGTCTGCCTCCATCGCGCTGCAAGAGAAGCGAATATGCTCGCTGCCATGCGGCTGCTCTGCTCGACGGCAAAATGTCTCCCGCGTCTCTAATACTCTTCTTTTTCTTCTGCCTTTCCCTATTTCTGTTCTGCAGCCTTGCACTCCAGCAATAGCTCGGGCCGGCCGCGTTGCAGCGCGGAGGGAGGCTTCTTTGACAATGTCAGCAAATCACTAAAACCGCGCGGGGCGCATGGGAGGGGGGAGGGCACTCCCACAGCGAGGAGTCGAGAGCAAAAAGAAAGACAGTGATCTCGCCTTTCACAATGGCTGCTCTTTTTTTTTACCCCCAAAGCGCGCGGTGCTATAGTACGACTAAAAAGAAAATAATAGCGATTCAGATTTACTGCATGGTCCGTTTCTATCTTTAACGCTACGGCTATCGGCGCTCTACTTTTTTCTCCGCAGTGTCGCTTCCCGGTTCCACATGACCGCTGTCGAACATGTGCTCTGAGATGTGACGACAAGGCACAGATCATTTTGTCTGGCTGGCGCGCGCTGGCGCGGCGTGGCATACCAGCTGGTGCAGAACTGCCCTCTGCTCCTCGTCACTCGCGTCTCGACTCTCGGGTAAAAAAAAGTACTCGACTCGCTACACAATCGTAAATTGCCTGGTGATTGACAGTCATGCGGGTACGACGCTTTTAGAACCTGGCAAATAATTGTCGTTGTGAGCTGTTTCAGTGTGCGAGATGAGTGATAAGCTATCGAATGTGCACACGCACACCACCACGGCTCACACTAACTAGAGGTACTGTTTATTTTTCCTTTCATTTGCAAATGACCATAATTGAGCGTTTTTTGTATGTTTTAATGAAATAAACTTAAGGTAATTTTTCTGAAACAAACGTGCACTGGTAAAACAAGTGTGCATAGTTTAAATACCAACGTGGGCAAGTTATGATGTTGCACATTACATGGTGTTTAACTCAAGTTGCACATTTAAGGCGTTTTATAAACGTTTAAATTCTGCACACTTGGACACACACAGTTCTATGCTATCAATAGGAACTCTATAATGTGTAGCTGCTATACTTTTCGAAAGTGTCGAAAATTTAAACACCAATTGACGTTTAATCTAGTTAGACACAGTCGAGGAAATTCACACTTGAACTTAAACGTCAATTGACGTCCAACATTAAACACTTTGTTTTACCAGTGTGTGCTCGCCATATTCAACATCAAAATATATAGACATTGCCCAGCGTTGTCTGATGAATGTGCACGATCAACATCAGCGGAGCACGGAACTTTGGAAATGACGTTCGCCTGAGCAAATATATACAGGAGAGGTGCTGAGGTGATAAATTATTCACGATCCGTATGGATGTGGCACTTCAATTGAATGATTCTGACGCGCTCGCAGTGTAAGAGGGGCACTCGCTGTGCGTCTGCTCCGAAATAGGGAGTGAGCGCGAGAGGGAGAAGGAGAGGGGGAGGAGGCGGCAGGAGGCGGAGGATCTTCTCAAGTCTATTGGTTCCGTATGGCCTGGGTACACACTTGCTCGCGCGCGCACTGGCACATACTTTGCCGGCGCTCGCTCGCGGGGAATGACGGAAAAGTACACTCATGTGACTGAGGGCAATGACGGTCAGCAAGAGGCAGCATCAGCACACACACATGTGACTGAGAGGGCAGTGACGGTCAGCCGGGGGCAGAGCAGCGGCATTACGTGGCAGATGGGGGGACGCAAAACGCGACGAGATGAACGTCAAACAAGCCAAAGTGGACGTCGCATAATTGATGATGTCATGCGATGCTAGCGAATAGAAAATTATCACTTTTCGATTATTAACGGGTTGAGTGCCGGCACGAGTGCCGGCATCATATGGTCACGCCCCATGATAAAATCATGGGCACCGAAAAGGTTCCGCACGTATATTTGATTCCGACTGATGCGCACTTTCAGCGTCGACATGTTGTGCCTTATTCACAGGAAAAACAAAGGTGCTAAGTCTTAACCCAAAGGTCCTAAAGGATTAGTGCCTTTACTAAAACTTCCAAAGGCACTCATTTTTGGCACCTTCAGGGCTCTTAAGTGCCTTTACAGAGGCAGCAAACTTAAAATGTCTTTAGCACCCCTAGAAAGGCACGACTGCGCACCTTTGTTTTTCCAGTGTTTACAACGCGACTGAGAGCTGCCCCTGCATAACGAGGCGCATGGGCCCTATATAGGCGGCCCTAGAGCTCCACGAGGCAGGGCACGGCACGCAGGGCGTACGGGCGCCGTGCACGGCCGTGAGCGCGATACCGGCAGGCCATTGGCTTTGTCGCCATACCCCGCACGCTGCAAACTATGAGAAGGATGAGCGGCGAGGTCATTTTCGTGTGCCATTTTTAAAGAAATGAAATATTATAACTGCTTCAGAAAGAAAACAAAACCCTGTAAAAATTTTGCCTTTCTTTAGCGTCTTTAAAAGTGACATGGAAGTTTTTGCACAGTGCGCTGCTCCGTGGCAGATGACAGACACTTCTTTTCGAGTTTTGCAAAGAGTGTACCGCTCCAACGAGCCGTGGGGCAGGGGCGCAGTCGGCGGCAGAGGCCCGATACCAACTCGCGGCTATTTGAGCCTGAAAATGGTCGGCATTACAGAGATGATTGACGCCAGAGAGGAGTGAGGGGAGGGGGCGCTGCGTTGGAAACAGGAGCAGCAGGAGCCACTGCTATACGGCTCTCGAAAAATAGCGCAGTGCACCCTTATGCAACGCGCATCACATCGAAACCTCAACAATGTCTGTAGTTGCGCAATGCATGAAGTGCACACAGCATCCGAATGGCGCCTAATCGCCGACAATGGGTCCCCGGCCCCGGCGGCCACGTGGAGCCTAGCGCGCCTGGCGCCCCGACTGTTGCAGCAACGGCGCCACGCGGTTCAGTTTTTCAATCGCGATACGTCAGCGTCGCGAGTCTGCTCAGAGCACTACTTGCACCAACATGTCAGGGGTCGGTTCAAAAATGGGCGAAGTTTTACTGAGTTTTTGCGAAAATCCTCGTTGGGAGCTGAAGCACCAGTACCAGACATTTACTACCTTTGGGCCAGGTTACACTTTTGAGGGTCCTAAGTAGTGATGAAGCATTTCGAAAAGACGTTTACCGGGTCCGAGGTTGTCACGGGACGGGCTGTAACGCCAACCCTTCCGCCTCCATGATTTGTTTTGAACCACGAAGTCTGCAGGTTTACTCGTGAAGTCCTGCGTCACTCGCTGTCACTCACCTGCGGCTGGTAGTCGGGCGGCGAGAGGGTCGTGACGGCAGCAGCGGCCTGCACGGCTGCCCTGCCTATGGCGGTATCCAGTCTGGCTCTATTGCCGCCACTCACGAGTTAGCGTTCAGTTACACGTTTGCACTCATCAGGTGTCTTATTCAGATCGGCTGTCGGGGCATATCCTTCTGCCGCGCGCGCTCCTGACCAAGGTTCTGGTGCCGGCTCGACGAGGCGAAGAGCATCGTCGTGGTATGGACCTGCAACAGAGAGCAAGTCACGGACCCTGTCAGAATTCGTACAAACAAAGAGGGATTTCAAAATCAAGGTTTCACCCATTTCATTTTTGCTAGCATTTTCCGGCACTTTTGCTGTGACTCGTACGACTCATTTAGCCTCGGGACTTGTTTTCCTTCTCCCATGTTGACGAACGGACCGGCACCGGCCGCCAAAGATGTCGTCCTGCTGCGACTAGGGTGAGCGGTGGCGTCAAAGCGCAAGGAGGGTGAAAAGGGGAGAAGGGAAAACTTGCTAAAAGTGGGAAACCAATCGAATTTGAAATTTAAACGTAATCTCAATTTTTTTCGTTACAGGTTGATGCAGTTTTTGTTGTGTTTAAAGAACTAACTGTGGCATTTCTGCTCGACGCCCTGCAGTTCCCCCGAGAAATGGAGCGTGAAGTAATGGTCTTATCGCTATAGCGTCAGCGAACCCGTACGGCAGGGAACTCCCTCGCACTGACGGCCGATGCGACGACGTCACACCGAACGGTTCCTCGAACATCATCGAAGGACTTGCGCCGCCTTTTAATGTCGCCGAGAGTCCGGGTTGATGCGCGACACCTCGCTGTTTATTGAGCCTCACGGCCGTGAGGCCCCCTCCTGGCTCATGACTACCTCATGTCCGCTCAGCAGGCAGGGCCCTCTCGGCTGCTGCTCAACGACTACCTCATGGCGGACCCAACGGGGCCTTTATGGCCAGCTGTTGTGACTGCTCCGACTGTACGTCTCGGGGAGGTGTAGCCAGCGCAGCAGCTGCCCGATGTGGAAGCCGTGGCTCACGCTCTCACACGTAACACACACACACACACACTCATTCCCTCCCTTGCACGGGGCTAAAACTCACAATTGTGACTCATCTCGAAAATGATGAACGAAAGCGACGACACGGCGGTGCATGAGGTCTTCCGGGCAGTGCAACTGGCAACAACCCCATTCTGCCGCATGGCGCGTCGCACCGCCGGCGCGCGTACGTCGCTGAGAAACTGCGTGCCGCTGACATCCGCAGCGCGCGCACACACACACACGCACGCACACAGAGACAGGCGCGCGCACCGTCACGTCCCCCGCAGCGCGTCAACACCCTGCCAAGCCACGGCAGGCCGCAAACAATCTGGGCTGGGCATCTATCGGCCTGGCCGGGCCGGGCCGGTCCGCTGCTGTGGGGCGACCACCTCCGCTGCTGTGTCACTCCACTCCCGCCCACTCCGCTCTACTACCGACCACTACTATCGAACGTTCGCCCATTCATGCATTTTAAAGCCGCCCGATGCCGTCCCTTTCCCAATTTCTAATCTAATCGCCGGGACTCTCTCTCGCTCTCTCTCGCTCTCTCTCTCTCCCTCTCTCTCGGTGCACTGCACTGGTCCGCGCGGGCCCGCGGGGGTCGCGGTACGGTGCCTCTTCCACATCCATGCCCATGCGCGCTGCCGACGGCAGCGGCCAGGTTCAAGGTTCACGAACTTATCGTGTGAGATGAATGCTGTCGCATTTCTTTTTACACCGAGATCGACGATGTCGGCTGCGATACGGCGCGCGGGGCGGCGCGGCCGCGCTCGGCGATCGGAGCCGCGCGCTTTTAATTTCCCTGCTCTCGGGTTATCTTTTATTAACGGCCATCATACTAATGTCGCGAAGTGGAGCCGCCAACGGCGTAATGAGCATTGCTTTATGGCCGGCTTTAAGCGCGTTTGCCATTTCATCCGCGACGTTTGTGTTGCATTTCTGGGTCTTCTGCACCTTGTGGAGGCGGGGGAGGGGGCGGGGGGCGCTGCGGCCGAGGCAGGCGTCTACGTCGGGCACGCGGATGGGTACGGAGGGCGGGTACCGTACGGCGCAGCGGTACTCGCCAATAAGTAGCCGCGAGTATCGAGTGCCCGGCTTGTGGCGGGTGCTCCCCCCCCCCCCTCCCCCAGTGCGACACAATCACGAGCAGTACGAACTGGTGCCCGGCCGCACGTGGTGCAGTGCCAGCCACCCCGGCCACCCCCAGCGGCCGCTGGCCCGCTGCCACACACTGCAAGGAAGAGCTTTTAGCGCAAAGACGACATCGTCGCCGACTGCAGTCGCATGCGGATACAGATCCAAAGTGGCGTTCTTATCGTTCTTTTCCTCGCAGAGGAGACGCGGACGCCGAAGTCTTCGAGTGTCGGCGTCGGCATCAGATTCTTGTTCCTAACTGGCGGTCAGAAACGCGACAGCGGGCGTTTTGTTGTTTGTTTTCGTCTCTTTGGTAAAACGGCCCAGCATACTCTTAACTGAAAAGGACTTTTGCTCTTGCTCTACTTGGTGTCAAGTTTGAAGCGACCAGTCAATTAACCGGCCATAGTAAGTAAGCCGCTTAAGAAAGCATGGCGTAGGCATTAGGCAGGTAGTTAGTCTGAGTGAGTGAGTGAGTGAGTGAGTGAGTGAGTGAGTGAGTGAGTGAGTGAGTGAGTGAGTGAGTGAGTGAGTGAGTGACGGGGAGAGAGAGAGAGAGAGCGGGGGGTCTAAACGACTGTGTGTGCCAAAAGGCTGCCGACGGCGGCGACCAGCGACTACCAACTTATTTGGCGCCACGTTGGCTGCCGCTCAGCCACCATTCATCTTGCACGCTGTCGCGAGTGGGGCGGGGCGGGGCGGGGCGTGTTGGGGCGGGCAGTTGACTCCTCGCCCCTCCGCACGCAGAGCGTTTGAACTTGAGCCGTCAAATGGTCCGAATAAGGCGGATCCCGCCTCGCGAGCCCCTCGGCGACGCGCCAGGTGTTCCAGTGGTCGACTGATTCATGCAGTCAGCGCTGGAGCCGGACTCGGACCGTGAAGTGGACTGGACTGTGTGATGGGCGTCCGCCAGCGCTCCTCTTCCACCGCTTCCACCCGTCGTCGTATCGGTAATGTCCTGGTCCTCCCCGGCGTTTCGATAAGGCATACAAGGTACCCGCCATACCCATGCCGTGAACGTCGCCACCATGCCCCCACTTTCCCTCCGAGTTCTTTTCAGTTTTCTTTTGTTTCGATGTGTTTTTCGGTTGTTCGTATTTTTTAGGGCGCACGTAAAAAGGAAACGCGCGGAATGTAAATTTTTCGAACGACAAAACACGATAAGGGTTTTAATGCGTGTCTGGCAGGAACTGCAATGACAAACAAGCGCAAGCGAACGAGTGCGAACGACTCAACGACGATTTTTCTCTTCGTCTTTCAGTTTTCCAGATTATTTTCCTGTTTCCCATTTTTCCCCGAAGTGAAACGATTCCGTCCCGTGCGCATCGCATCGCGTCCGAGACTTTTGGAATGCCCCGCCGCGAGCCTACTTGACGGCCTCCTCCTAGGCCATGGAGGGAAGGGGAACAGGAAGGGCAGGAGGACAGGTGCGGCGAGGCGCCTGCCCCGCTGGCCGGCCACCCCCCCCCGCACCTCCCTCCTTTCTCCGGCGCCCCGGGGAAGGCCGATCACGTCCTGGATGGGGGACTCCTTGGACTGCGACCCGCTGTCGCCCATACTGAGCACGCGGAAAGACTGCAAGAGTGCAATCCAATACTACACTGCTTCTCTTCGCTCGCTCGCTCACTCACTTACTCACTCCAAATCCATATTTCAAACTGCTGTTGCAAATAATCATTATTCCTTGTTTTGTCCACGCTCGAGTTCTCGCTTCACTCTACCTTCCGGTACCTTCAAAATGTCTTTCAATAGATGTAAGAAAATGAATACATAATGATAAAAAAGGCGAGGAGAGGTGCAAGACAAGAGAAAGAAGAAGACGCAGAGAGGGACACGTAACAAAGCGAACATCTTCCTTCTCCCGCTGTGTCCTCACTCGAGTAAAAGTCAAAGTGTGATGAGGCAAAACTGTTGTTGGCTGACACGCGAACAGCCGACACCAGGTCAGAGGAGAAGGGCCTGGGTCTCTCTCTCTCTCTCTCTCTCTCTCTCTCTCTCTCTCTCTCTCTCTCTCTCTCTCTCTCTCCATCATTCGTCTCTTTTCGAATTCATATATTTTCTCTTTATTCTCGTTCTCTTATTGACGCTTCATACACGTCCCGTCCCAGACATTTCGCTATTATTTCTTAAGAAATTCAAATGTTTTATTGCTAAAACGCCAACGCGCCGTCTCGCTGAAGGGCAAATCTCTGCGTGGCGGGCCGCGCGCAGAGAGGCGGGGCGGGGCGGGGCGGGGTTGGCGCGGCGAGCAGTGCGAGGTGGTGGGCGGTGGCAATGCAACCTATGAAGGCCACAACCTCCGGCGCGGCGGGTCCCAGCCGAGGCGTGGCGTGGCGTGGCCGGGCGTGGCCGGGCGTGGCCGGGCGCGGGTCTGGATCTGGATTGCGATCGGCTGGGCAGACGAGACCCAGGGCCTCCTGCTCCGCCGTGTGTGTCTGTGCGCCCCCGTGCGTGCACGTGTGTTTCGTGAGACAAGTTAATGGACGCAAATAATTTTGTAAAATGGATCGTAGTTGGTCGCCTGGGCGCTTCGCTTTGCTTCGCTTTGCCTCGCTTTGCGCGGCCCGAGAGCGCGTGCCGCTGATTGGCATCATCATTATCATCTGTGGAATGATAATAGCCGGCTCCTGGACTCCGGGAGCCGCGGGGGGTCGCGCCATATTGGGGCCCACCCAGAAACAGAGAGCTGATCCTCCAGGTGGCTGGTCGCCACAGCAGACTACAGGCACGGAACACGTGCTAGCACATTTAATAGCAGCACTGTGCGCTTTATTATTTTCTGTTTTATTTTTGCACGTGCGAAAGTGCAACATCTTTCGATTTGTATAATTTTAAACATGTCCATCATACTAAGATCTTGAGCTTCCTTTTGCAATCTTTTGCAATGGATAGCCACGTTGTTTTTGCAAACGCTATGGTTTATTTCTTCTCCCTCGTAAATTTGCAATAGGCCATATCAAACTTGAGATATTCGCATGAAACATGCATGTGTCAAACGCAGAAGAGGTAGGTTGTTCGTCCCCGGCTGTAGCCCTGGCGCAGCCCCGCCCCGCCGCCCTTGG